GTTCGCCTCGTGATTTATTGCGCCTCTACTAACATTTAAAGAAACGTCTTTGCATACCTTTAGCCATTGACTTGTGACGACTAGAAATAATTTAAACATTTATATAAAACAATACTCAAACAAATATATGCCTCGCTATTTTCCAAAGAAAAGTTGTATTCACGAGGACCGTATATATAGCTACTCATCGATTAAGCGCATCCAATACAACAGAGCGGGACAGCAAAACTCGAGCTTTTCACTAGAGGCTATTTTCACAACGATTTTTTTGTGTGTCCTAAAATTATCATTTTTGACAATCATGTTCAATTAGATGCAACCTACTGACAGCCCCGATTCATCATTTTCAAATGTTTACAAATAACTTTACGGTGATAACCATGCATCAAGCGAAAGTGACAGGTATAAATTCGACGAAGTATCGTTCAAATACACTACTTACAAAATTTTGGGCGAATAGTAGATCAACAACACCGAAAATGTTCTTCTTGAATGAAATAAAAGGTGCAGGAGGGCGCAAAAAGTCTTACAACCCTTGGAGCCTATCCAGACGACCAAACCAAAGCCACTTGATATTTTCCTCTCCAAAACGACCATTAATGCCTGTACAGAAAAAAAGAGCTCGGGTGTATCAAAAATGCAATTTTAAGCCACCTCTATACATTTTCAAACTCCTTAAATCTAAACGCTATTGAGCCAACAAGGTGCCAGTTTACCCGACAGATAAACCCTCAGGTATAAACCCGCATACCGACTGAAGCGGAGCGAAAGTTCGGTAGAACACGTCAAACCAATCTGACAAGAACTATTTTTCTTTGCAGAAAATACGTTTTGTTGAATAACTTGCTATGGGATTTTGAAAAATGCGGAGAACAGTGCTGGACTAGACGGAAAACAGGTGTCACCGTAATAGTTGTCTGACGGAATGCCTAATGGTGATACAGAGCCTAAAATTCAAAACAAAGAGACAGCACGCAGTATTACCTTTGTAAGCTTAGTCAAGGCGCTACATGGGTTCCTCGATGAAATGGGCAGCCAACTCGGTACTTGCATAGCGAAGAATTTCGGTTACAATAAGTTTATAGCACATTTACAGATAATAATATGTGAACTGTGGACCTAGTAGCTTTTAACTCAACCGAGTCAGTTGAAAAGATATCGGGGTGGAAACGATTGTCCTAATCAAGCAATTTGCTAAACGTGGAAAGGAATGGCATTATAAGTGAGTAACGCATATACGTACCGTATTTTTCTATTGCTGCCGTAATATAATATTTGAAGTTCATACGCTGTCTCTAATCCATCGTTTGCAAAAAAATGTCGTTCTACGATGAACATATGCTATATGCACTCGGTGTAGTTCGGTGTAGTTGAATATTTATAGCAACAGCAGACCTAAGAACGGCACGCAGTTCTGTCAACTTCTACCAGTGCCCATACCGTTCTCACGTTCGTTCGTTTTTTAGTGCGATTCTAGAAATTCACCACGAGGATTTGTTATGACATGCCTTATTTTGGCTGGATGAGTGTGTCTGAGTTCATAAGACTAGAATGGGCTTATCGTCACAAGAATTTCAGATTTCACTACGTTGATACAACTGAAGCTTGGGCAAAAGTATCAAATATATGGCTTTCGTCCCTATACTTCAATGCATACAGATGGTTCAAAGAGCAAAAACTCAATAGGCTACTTCGTGCTGCAACAACGTTATTAAAATCAATCGAAATTGTAGATGTACTTCGGCATATGACCTCACTCCACTATATCTATTGTATTAGATTTGCAGGTTCTGTTCAGCGCAATAAAGCCTTAATTGCGCAATTAAGTCGTATTTCCCTAGAGTACTGTTGCCCTAAGCAAAGTACAATTGAGCAAATATATGAAGTTAACTGAGAGTTAGAAAACAACGAAGACGGTTCGTGATTTTTCTACGAGAATTAATGGTACACTGTTTCCACTATACGATATCGTGCAATAATGTATAAAGATTTCTGTGCGTCACCACCAAATGTTTCAAGAGTCCCAACGGAAATTATACGTCTAGATTGTGCGTAAACGTCTTTTAACGGTGAACCCAAGTGATTCGCTAAAGACATGACTGAATTACATTACGTCCAGGCGCAACTCTTTTACAAAACCCGGAAAATGCATGCCAGTGGGTCGAGTTATGGTGATTGCGGCAAATCTACGTCTGTTGAATACCTCAGCAGTATTCGAATACTGGCCTTCTGTACTACAGCAAATAACGTTGGAGCATCAAATGGTATAGGAATTGTGCTTTTTATTGATAACTCCAGCTAACAGAAGGCATCCCTACAAATGTGATATGTAATAATAGTAAAATTCAAAATGAAGCCAAAAATCAGTCTCCTTTTGCTCAAAAGCCACTATTTTATGTATCAGTATGGCAGTCAGCATAAAACTGCCAAATAACCTAATGATGCGGCCGGAATCAGACCTCAACCTGTTCCTATAAAAAAAGAAATGGAAACAAGCAAAACAACAGATAGCAATCGTTTTTCAGGTTGCTGTTTAAACTGTTTGACAAACTCTCTAGTCAAGAGTGCTAGCGCAACCACCTGCTAAAGGCAACAAAACAAAGGTTCTTTTAATGACATGGGGGTAAACGTAGCAGAGAATAAGACGATCTGGAGTTGACGACTAAGACGATTAAACAGTTTTTACAAGGGTCGACAAAAAGGCAAACATCTATTGATGGAACGTAAGTAAATCTTCGTATGCCACCATTCAAATTTGATAGTACGATGTGTAAATAAGCTGGAAAGTCTAAAAGGAATCGAAATAAATAGTTTAGATCACTCGATAAATTTTGACCGAATGATCAGGTTCGACGTTTTCAGATTGTTGCAGTTCTCAATTTGGCCCTAAAGTTGCAACAGTCGGCATTGCCTGAAATAATATAGCAAATCTAAGTTGACGAAAAACCTTAAATGTTTTAAGGTTAAAAAAAAAAACTTCAAAAACGTTAAATGAAGAATGCGCTATCGGTTCTTGCAAGTCATGAACGCCAGCAGAGAAGCAAAAAAACCCATTTAAATTCTAACGATATTCAAGAATACTCAAATCACAACGAAGAAAGATGAGGAGGAGGAGGACACTAAACTCTGATTCAATTAATAAACCAAAATATTCTTTCGTGAAATACAGTCGTCAAATGACAGTAATAAAGGTGGCACCTCTCTTGACAGAATTCAAGCCGTAATTAATAAAAAATAATAATAGTAAGAATATTGTACATAGTTGAATCAAGGAATCATTTTGACAGTGAAATTATATTTCCGTGTTTCTTTTTTTGTGTTAGCAAACTACAACATAGAGGGATAGTAAAGTAATACGGGCGAAAATTTTACTGCGATCGAGAAAAATATTATCACCAAAGACCTTATTTACAATCTAGAAAAGAAGTTTGCATCAGATTTTCATAGGAATATTTAAATCAAGATGCATTTATTCTATGACCTATATAATACCTCTGGAAGGTATTATATAGATACTCATAGAGTATTACGTGTTATATAGGCTGACGACTGATTCGATTGGCATAAGTCTGTTATTCAACGAAGTTAAAGCTAAAAGAGGCGATGTTTCACAATTATTAAATTGACGCATAGCTAATAGACTTTGGTGAAGTTAACGAAAATGTCCTTTGGATGTACTTAAGGTGCACACCTTATTCGAGACGTGAAGCGGAACCGTAATAATATTTACTACAGAGTCAATTTAGCCCATCGAAGCCTGCGTGTCGCTATAGCGACTATTTATAATTTTCGAATAATCGATAAATAACCTATAGTTTATCGGATTCATGATCTTGATCGTTAGGAATATAGTGCATGTGTCGGGGGCATTGTTAAGCGGTGTCAATGAAATGGTCAGAATTTCACACAGGAAAAAAATATTCTGCTTTAAAAATGCTAAAAGCTAATATTTGTTTTAAATATATTTAATTTTTCCATGCTCGAAAAAACTGAGCGGTCTATATTGCCTCATATCGCAACTTGCTGGTGAGGAAGGGTTGGATTAGGTTAAGGGGTGTCGATTACCCGTCGCCGGATCGAAAATACCGACAAAACAAAGCATGATTACAAAAAAAAGGATTCGCACAAGCGGCAGATAAATTAATCGAAATGTTCACAGCTATTTGCCTCATTGTGGGTGATCGAAATTTCTTTTATAATTGATTCCCCCTCATCTTGTTGTGGTGATCTACGTGTCCATCATTTAACTATAGGCCCGTGTATAATTACAGCACCCGCGGGTAACTTAGATAAAAAAAAATAGGCGACCAAAATACCATGGAACAGTTGTCGCTAGTAAATTAATAAATAATCATAGATCTTTTCCGAAGTCTAAGTACACCTTTTCGAAATAGCAAAAATACCCACAGCCACTTGTCATCGCCGAATAGCCCGCCAACGACACTCTCACCATTTCGTATTCGGCTGCAGTTATTTTCACCCTGCTCCGATTCGTCATTCAATTCATCCATTCGTTTAGTCGTCTATCGCTTGCACAAATTCGCCAACAACCCTGCGCGCTCCTGCACTCATAACAGCACTCTGTCGTCAGCCACCAGCAGCGACGGCGGCCGCGGCCCCGGCTGCCTCCTCGTCCACTTTTACCTTGCTCTGTGAGTATCTACGTCTGTATGTCTCGGTTGCTTCCCGCCTGTTACCACCGCTCTGTTCGGTTTGCTGCTAAGCAGGCAGCGAATTCTTCTGGCAGCCAGTTGCCTGGCCCCCGCGATCTCAAGCGCCCTCTGTGGCCTGTCGACGAAACCTTTCGCGCGCTCCCTCTCCGTCTGTCTAGAACGATACCAGCGCTGCACACTGATGGCGGCTTGTTTTGTAAACATCGCCGGACCTTGCCTGTCGAAAATCCGCAGCTGGGGAGAGGAGGGTCTGTCCTCGTCGTCGTCATTGCTGCCGCGCTGTTATTCCTGCTGCTACTAGTACGACGGTTGTTTCTATCGCTGCTGCTGCTGCTGCTACTGCCGCCGCTGCCGCTGCCGCTTTCACCGCGGGAGCAACAGCAACGGGAGTTGGCCGCTGCGCTGTTGTTGAGACCAGCTACCAGCAGCAGCACCACCAACAATTGTGCAGGCAGGAAAGCGAGCAGGCGGGCGGCCAGGACAGCGAATCAATCGTAGGTTGCCCGTTCGTTCGCTGAATCGACGGTGTAGTCGTCAGTTCGTCGTAGTTGTAGTTGCTGTCGCTGCCGAGAAGTAGGGGCATCGTTTTACGCCGGCGGCAGCACCGCCAGTAGCTGCTGCCGTTGAGTCTATGAACAGTAGCAGAAGCAGTCGTTTGTGCGAGTAGCAGTGGTCACGGCATAGCACAGCGTTTGCTAGCCGATATCCCTTTGCGTGCTGCCCCTGCGTGTGCGTGTGTGTTCCCAATGTGTGCATTGTGCTGTTCCAGTAGCGAGTGAAGCACAGTACACGCACCCTTGTTGCCTTCATCGTCGTCATCATCATCATCGTCACAGCAGATAGCGGCAACAGCACCCGTAAGCAGTAGCAGCCAGCAACGAACGAGTGCTGCCGAAAGACGGCTGTTGAACGCTTGCCGCTCGTGCGAATCTTTTTTTGTGTCATGTTTCGTCTTTTCGGTATTTTCGTTCAGGCGACGGGTAATCGACACCCCCATCGCTAGCCGCAGTCACCGTGGATGCTGCCGCCGCACTGACGAACGCGATCTGACGGTTGCGCTTGCCACGAGATATACCCCTGTCCGAAAATTAACGTTCGACGTCGCTTCAATTGAATGAGCTGTACCGACAGAATAACAACTCCTGTACCACCAAGAAAATCTATTATAATTCGATAAAGTGAGAGACTACTTGGTAGACGCGTGTTTGCTGATTCCAAATGGTAATAGTTTAGCCGGCGGTGACTCGAAGGCTACTAGCGAGAATGTCCCGCTACTGACAACGGGCTTTTGTCTGCTTTTGGGAGCTGAATTCGGAGCACTGCTACAACTTCTAATGCTATGACCACTGACAATAACAGGGAATAAGCGATTAAAGAGGACCCCGAAAAAATGCACGAACGCGCCTCGTCCTATCACAGATCATGATGATGATGTCCTGTTGTTAATACGTTTCCTCGCTGCTGTCTAAACAGTTCTGTTCCACTGTTCGTATTTTTCGTGTGTTTGTGCGCTGTGAAAATAAAGAACGGTGGAAACGACGAAGGACACAACGGGTTTCTCCTGACGTGATAGCTATAGCAACGAGCCAGACGACATCGTTGCATCAGTTACAGCTGCTACTGTCGTCGCATTTTCGTTAGTTCGTTCGTTCGTTCATTCGATCTTTAAAACGTCGCCAAATCGCCGCCAATCACGAACTAACGCTGGCCCCTTGGGCAGGCAGTACAATGGGGGTCGAGCTGTTTGGGGCGGCGGAAGCATCCCTGCTCGAGCACTATCTCGACACCGTCGAGCACCTTCCCGACGATGTTCAACGGACAATTTCGCTACTCCGCGAGATTGATCAGAAGTATCAGAAGATTCTTGGTAAGTACGATACGTGTACACATGCATATATGCGGCCATACATACAGATAATGCTGTCGGACACATACACACACAGAAATGTACAATGTGCAAAGTGAACTGTGCTGGAAGTGAGTTGTTTCGTGTGCCCGAAAAAGTGTACAGCCTCATCCAGTCAGTGAAAAGCTCAGCGAGCCGTCTCATCTCCCATTTAAGTGTTATCCCCGTAACCCATATTGTTTACCGAAAGACCCCTCTGTTGTGTGCTTCTTTCTCTAGGCCAAATTCGTCGTCTTACATTGCAGTACACCACCATGTTTCGTTCTATTTCATTCCGCTTACGTTGATTGGGTCATAGCCTGCAACGATTTGAACAACGGCTGCAAGTGTGGCTGTGTACCTGGCCATGGGTTAGTTAGCGTCGATGGCGCCACTCGAGTTTTCCTGCTGCTGTCGTTCGGATCAGTCACCCGTAGCGAGCTGGCTGGGTCTTATGACGTGCTATATAAGATCGTGATAGACGCCTCTTAGTGAATGGATCATACACCAACATCGTCTGATCGACTTTTGATCGGATAAGTCCTGATCAGTGCACGTGTATCGCCGTTTCTTGCTATAGCTACAGCTCATCTACTCAAGTCAGTCAGTGTTTCCCTGCTTAATTATAAGGAACAGTGTTTTGATCTCGACATACATATGGTTTGTACGGTGACATAGCCTCGTAGCATGCTAGTTACCTTAGCTCCTTATTCGACCCTCTTTGTCTATCTGCATATGGATGATTTCTGCCCCATACTCTGCGACGGTCTAGCCATTAGCTAATGCCTCCCGCTCTCAGCGTTATACCGCCACCCCGAGGGACAGACTGGGCCGGGCGTGTACCCATCTCCTCTTGACGCTGCTGCAGGCGTCGATAACGATGTTAATAGCTTCGCTCCCACATGAACAGCAGTGGTTTTTACGGCTAGCGCCGGTATCTGCTAAAGCCATCGAATCGTTTATATGGAGTGGGGGCCAGTGAGAACCTGTTCTTGAACAAACAACTAGGCACCCATTCGTATCGTGCGAAAAACGTCCCGTTTGAGCTGTTATTGCTGCTGGCATAGGTTAACCTGGAAAGCCGGTAGGTGCCTGGAAAGGCAACTGTGTCCACGTGGGCAGGCGTTCATTCGTTCGTGCTCCCAAGTGTCTACAGGTGAATGTTCCTCTCTACCTATGCATGAGTATTCTCTCGAGTCTTTCATGCAGCGACGTCGTCGATATGCAGTACGCTGTCCACAAAGTCTAAACGTATTGCTTACACCGAAAACAACAGCTGCTCCAGAACGTGTGAAGTCCGTGACCTCTGCTGTTACTCGTCTCGTTTGTTAAATGGGCACGGTCATCTACATTCAATATCATTTATACTGTGTACCTTTCCGGGTCAGACTCGAGGGCATACAACAACAATATGAAAACGTACTCGGTGTATTGGTAGCCAATCCGTGTTACGCTCTGTTCTAGCGATATCCCCCTTCCCCCCCGCTTTATTTCTAGTGTGTGTAATCAACGTTGTTTCGGTGTGTGTATAAGAATCTGGTGACACAACAGCGGTGTTAATGTAACAGTAATGGCAGCAACACGGTAACAACTGGTCTGGGTAATAGAACACATCTGTCACGCGACTCCAAGTACAATACCATCGTTCGCATCTGTATATATTATATACACACATATTAGATTGACAGTTAGTCGTTCCTTCCTCGCCCCTCTGGTGCTGACAAAGTTGTATGGTGTAGGATTCTCTACTGGCATCGTTACGTTTCCGTCTCTGTATTCGCTATACGTAATTCGGTGTCGGTCCGTTGTCGTCCGTCAGCTCTGCCACTTCATATTTGTGACGGGTGTCTGTGTCTACATATAATCTAGTGCGGCATTTTTATGGTTTCAATATGTAATTCTGCCGCTATGCTTTCGCTGTTGCCGCTGCTTTATGCTGTGTGTGAGGCTATCTATCTGTCCGTCCGTCCGTCCGTTTGAACGCGCGATGTGTCATTCGCTCGTATAAATCGGAATGTATCTGTGCCGTTGAGAATCGAACAGAACTGGCTGGTCGGCTTGCTCTATTCAATCCGCCTGGCTAAGCGAGTCGTTGTAGCTTTCATCGCCTTACGGACTGTTCAATTGCTTGACGACGGCCAGCCACCAGCAACGGCAGCAGGAAGATACGGACGGAAATCTCGCGCCAATGCGTACGTGCTTTGCGCGCTGTTCGTCCTGATAAACTACGATTATGACGATCATGATCGAAAAGCCAACAGAAGTATTAGTGGCTTTAAGGCCCCCAGTGTGTAGCTCTCCGCCCGCACCGCTCCTCGACTCATCACCTCATCCAGCCCCAACCGGCAACGGCGACAGCGGTGTTAGCGACGCAAGTAGCAGTAATCGTCGCGGGGACTGGCCAACTGCAATAAGAATATCAAAAACAGCAAGACAGAGCTTGTCTGTAGACTGTCCGTCCGCCAGCCGGTTGGTCGGTCGGTCACTTGCTCGCTCCCTCGCTCGGTAGGCACGTCAGCGCGGCAAAACGAAGGAAAGCTGCCGCTGCAGTAAGAAGCCGCTGCCCGTTAATGTTATGCTCGAGCTAATGCTGCTACCAGTCAGTACTTAGTGCTAGCGCAACCACTGGTATTTGTGGTGTACGTTCTGTTCGTTTAGTGGCACCCGTACTGCTTGACTTTGCGTGGTAAAGCAGCGGCGGCAGGCGCTAACGAGTGCAGAATGGACGGTGAGCTATTCTTGCTGATGCCCAACTCAATGGATGGGCTGTCTTCCTATTGAGACAGGCCGCTGCTGGGCGGGCTCTCGATTTCGCTTGCCTGGGGCCACGGCCAATATGGGGCCATGATAGCTACTGCTACTGCTGCTGCTGCTGCCACCACTATGGTGCGGCAATGATACGAGATTGCGGTGGGGTGGCGGCCGTGATAGTGATGGCAAGCACGGATGGCGGGCAGGAAGATAGGCGAGCGGCTGACCTAAATGTCAGCTGCTGCCATGGCCCAAAGAGCCCACGTCACGTCAGCTTCGGACAGAGTAAGAACAGCGGAGAGTCAAAATGCTGCGTCGTGATACCTGTGAGAGGCAACTAATATTAGCCGTTGTTTAGTAAACCCAGGATGTACTAAAACCAATTTGTTAGTTGAATGGTTGAACGTCTTTGACAGTGGTAACAGTTGTGGGGGACTACATGAGTCTATGTGCCTACAGGCTCTTTCTCTACAACCTGAGTATCTGCAGATGCGCCCACTCGCGCGTGTCTCAGCGAACAGCGTGACGATGCCGCACTGCTCGGAGTGGTTTAGTGTTCCGGCAGTAGTCGGCGGTGGACGGACAACAGTGTTACGGTTCGTTCTGTGCCCCTATAGATGATGACTGCAATGGTGATTAAACGTGGTGACGGTTGTATATAGAGATTATTATTGCTATTATGCCAAGAGCTAGCTGGCGGCACTCGTAACTCTTCCATCATCCGCTTTTTATCGTTGTGTCAAATAAATGTGTACCCAGCTTGGATTTAGGACAGTTTACAATAATAAAGCACACGAACGTGTACTAAAGCATGCCTCATCTGAGCTTATGATCGACTAGGCCAGCAGTGTGAATGCTGGTCGCTGTTGTTGATTGCAAATATTGTTTGTCCTAAATTCAAATTTAAGTCTGACAGAGTTATTTACTAACGACTGCTTCAGTGTGACTGTGACAGTCGTACAAGACGTTAGCCATCAAAGCCAGCACAAAGAATAGCCAGTTATCGTAATGATGGCTGCTAGAATCGTCGGCGTAGCTTTATCGTCAGGGTAGCTGCGTATACTGTTGCTACTCGAAGGAACATTTTTATCGCAGTCGATACAACTGGCGTCATTACGCCAGCAATATATAAACGAAATCGAAAGTGCGCGATGCACTAAGCTTAAGTGCTGAGTTTCCGTAGAAGACGAATTTAGAAGAAAAGGGTCAGTGGACCTCGTCACCATTTGTGTGGCCGAGGCCATTATCCGTTTACCGCTGGTGGTTTCAATGCAATGAAGGCTAGTTTGGTACCTTTTATTACTAGCACTAAGCCCATTATTGATACAGTTAAACTTAATAATTGTAAAATATGTCTGTGTAATAACAGAGATCGCTGTTGGCAGAAAGGTTCGACGTTGTAAGTAAGTTCGGGTTTTTGTTGTGGGAAAAAAGCTGTAGAGAATATGAACATTTGCTACATAGTTGCGTAGTACTCCATGTGGAATAAAATGTAGCTTTATAAGAATGGATGAAATTACACAAAATTGTTATAATGTTGACGTGGGTTACGTGGGCAACAAGACAGAGACGTAATAACATTAATAGTGTAAAATGATGATTGTGAACTTATTCAAAGCTGCGCGTGCTGATCATTGCATTTGCATGTGTCTTCTACCAAGTAGATATTATGCAACACAAAATTATGTTCAGTGCTCTTAAACCCGTTTGCCATATCAGACTGATTATTGTGCGTTGTTTTCTCATTTAGGTCAAATTGTCAGATATTCGGGCCTATAGTAACACGGAACATTAACCGAGATGTGTCTGCGTTTTCTTATTTCTGTCCTGTTCCTCTCTACCTATTCTTTGTCTATAATGCTATTTGTTTGCCACCCCTGCATATTTAGCTGAATTGGAGCAATTGATCCGGTTGCGAGACCCCAAGAAGCGTGACATTCACCGGGCGCTGGTTCGAACCCAGGAGCTCTCGGACGAGAAGTTGCAACTAATGCAACAACTGGTTGACACGATCGAGAACAAGAGTCGACAACTTGAATCGGACGCACGAACTCTCGGTAAATCTTTCTGTCTTTTCTTTTTTAATCCAATTCGAAGTACTAATTCTAGTCAACTATATTCGCTGAGTTGTAGCTAGCAGTCAACAAAGCATACCTAGGTATCACTGGAGAACGACTACAGTTAATATTATATGATTGGTTTGTTCGGTAATGCATCTTGCTCCCGAAAATCCTGCCGCCGACAGGCGATACTTAGTCATTGTGTATGCGTGTGTATGATGCAATCTGCTGCTACGTGTCTTGTTAACGAAAGCTTCGTTTCTATTGGTGTGTTGTTGCTGTCTTGCCCTTTGGGATTAGCGTGGTGGCAACGTGGTCACCTGTCAATCCGGCGGACTGGCATCGAGTCCCGCCCGCGCCAGAGATCCTTTGAGGGTAGGTTGGTCCGTACCCTGATAGCAATCTGATGATGCCACATGCAAATTCCACATTATTACCAAAAAAAAAAAAATCGGTATTTCGAAGTAGTGTGAGCTCAATAACGCACATGCAGATGGTATTTGATATATTCTATCGAAAAGAGCCATTTAAGTTTCATTGAAAAACGACTAAATTCTTACCATAAAGGGTTAGGGAGAATGTGTAATTATATTTGCTACTAGACCAAACAACGGCATTTGATTATTTTTCCTTCTCTTAACAATGTCCGCGTAATGTACGGTGTCTGCTCGATTAGCTTGAAGCTTGAAGGCTTCTGTGAGATGAATAGTATGTGAATCTCGGACAGTGTCAGATATTTCGAATTGCGACTTCTCTGTAAGTACTTGCTTGACCGGACCTAAAAGAGGAAGTGGTTCTTAATCTGTCTTCGGACAGCTGTTGGCTTATTAGCGTAAAATTTAGCGTTACGCGTTTAGGCGAGTAATAAGTCTTCCTTTATTACGTCTGGTCGATAACGATATGCGAGTACAGTGAACCTAGTCGAACATATTCCATTTAGCAGACACATTCTTGTTACTGTTGTTGCTGGTTAAATAAGGATGTATTGCTTATAACTGTCAGATGGGACTGTACATGAACCCAGTCTTCATACGTTCACCTATATGACACTCATCAAATGATTTATTTATACGCGAAATGTATTGAGTTGACGTATGGTTTCTTATCGTTTCTCTACATTTAAACTACTTGTTTTATAAATACCGCTGACAAAAGATACAGAGCTACCGAATGAGTGGGAATAAATACATCGGTCACATTCTACATCTATTGTTGTGCCTTATATGTTATTTACTAAATTCATCATTTTTTGACATGGCGATACTTGATGCGAGCTTCTAGCACATCTACTACATATGCATGGTGCACGATTATCACGGATATAAACCCCAGAGATGATAGAATATTCGAAGTGGAACGCGAGAATTTAAAACGACGACTCTCGCCTGGACGCAACCTTGACTTACCTATGCACTGGTGTCCTTGCTTGGACATTCAAAGTTAAACTTGCATAATAGCTAACTTAACCTAATGCCCCGTCATGCAAAACGGAGGAACACGATTGCATAATTCTTTTTCAACGGTACATTCAAATGAGATCCTAACGAAAATCGTGAACGAATACTGTCTGCTTCAAGTGCGTTGCATATCATTGCTTCGACAAGCTTTTTTTGGTAGTAAAAGTGAAGAAGCTGGCATAATTAATTAATTAATGAAAATGCTTGCGTCTGGCGGGATTCGAAGCCAGTTGGTTCACCGAGACTGGCTGGAATACACCACCCAAATCGTTTTTGTTCATCATCATTAGTTTTTAAGGCTAGATACATGTGGTCGTTTAATCTATCTTAGCGGCCTATATTACCCACAATAATGTCATTTTGAAGAAGTTAGTTAAAATATTGAATTTTATGGGTTATTTTTGCCTTTTTTCGGACTATTGTTACAGTACGCTCCAGCACAAGATTGAAGGCGCTATGTCCTGTGTAACGCACATCTTCGCGTAGTACTAGCAGTAATAGTATTATATATGAACCACTATTATCACTGCTGTAGAATTCAGTATTTGGCCAAAGATGCCCTAACAACTTTAGGTGTAATGCGCGATATAGTTAAATAGCCCAAATGAGCAATCTTAGTTTCTGTTGCGTCTAAAAGTGTACTAGCATCACGCGTTCATGTGTATCGAAACGTTGACGTTGCTGGATCAAAGAGCGCATTCGTGTTCTAGTTAGCGGGATCAGCTCTCTGAGAATGAACGAAACAGGATAATGCCGAGTGGGTTAATGCGCCTACGTAACCTGCCTCTGACGGTTCCGGTCACACGTATCAACAACTGCCGAAAACGTCGAAATCTCGACGAAGTTTTTCCACTGTTTCATTTCAGTACAAAGCCAATTTGTCGTCAGTTGTTTTAGCTGTTGTTAATCACTGAGGGACGCATCCAGCACAAATAATGGAATTCTAACGGATTTGTCGACTCAGATCCCAAAATAGGCCATCCACAGTAAAACTTTTTTTGGAAAAGAACGTTTGGACAGACGGTTAGAGACGATATAACTATACCAACTGCACCGAAATCAACGTCAGTATGGAGGGTGAAATTGATTTCGCAGCGGTTTCCGTCAACACAAACAACGAAAGCTAATGTGCTGTCTATTCTTGTCGGCTCGTACCAACTTAAAAGCGTTACTGTCGTCTTCCTACGACAGTACAGACGGCCCCTCGTATGTATCGCCGTCGTTACTAAGGGCCGCGCGGTGGATCCGCGGCATCTGGGCGAACGCGGATAGACACGACTTCTACTCGAATCCATTGTACCACTGTTGCCTACGGTTGCTATGATCTGTTCCTGCTGGAGCGCCGCATTGACGCTGACGATTTACATATGCACACTCACCATATTTACGTTTGGATGCGACCGATTTACAGACCGGTAAATTCATGACATCCCACCGATGAATGTCGGAGAACAACAACAACAATCGGACAACTAACGCACGTTTATTAGGTCGCCAGCTAGCCGCTTCACGGAACAACGTCGTCGATGATAACGTCAGAGGGAACGTCGAATGCGGACACGCTAATATGACCGGTAAAATTAGTCCTACTACGAACAAGCCCTGCAGCGATACAGACAACAACAGCAGCCGTATCACTACTAGCAAAGAAATCTCTGCCACGCAGGTCAAACGATGACGATGGACGCCCCGATCACAGTTGTTGTGGTTGCTTCCTAGAGTTTTAGCGGCAACGTTTCATTCGGTGTTGTCGGTTGTGCTGCCGTGCCGCGTGAGTTGTTATTAACGTATTACTATGGTCGACTAGATATGGTTGAATACAGTGGAAAGGGCTGAGTGAGTCTGAGCTGTTGAGCGCAAAGGACTGGCAAAGGGTAAAGAGGTGTGCTGTTAGAGTCGTCGTCGTAGTAGTAGTGGCCTACTAGTGGTAATTTATGTTCGAGTTGAGCTCGAGAAACGTTTAACACCCGTTTTCGCCATCATGCGATCCCTGTTAGCCAAGTCGACGCGGATCCATAACGGCCGAAGACGGAGCTGTTGGCTACCTGCTTGTCGCTTGCATCTTGTTGTGATGATGTTGATGCCGGACAAGGCAAGCTAAGTCAGCCGTGTTTCGGCGATAGTCACTGTCACATAAGGGCCACAGCGACAGCACCGACATACAGTGGCGTACAATACAGTAGAGGTAACAACGCTGCCAGGCACGGCAGCACACTCGACTAACCAATCGTTCGACCACGAATTGGCTCCACTCTAAACCGATCCTCGGTATGCCCCCTACCATTGACGCCTGTCCTGCCGCTATTCATATTAAGTGCGCACAGAACCGATGCAAGATTTACAAATAATTTCGCGCCATAGCGGAATCGCGCTCTGTTGAAAATCAGTGCTTTCCACTGCAGGTTGCACACTGCGGTGCTCTTTGTACAAACTGATAGGTCGCATGTATGTTCTGTGTTTTCAAAGCCCGAAATCCGTGAAAAGCGAATGCTAGAATGGTCACAGAACAACAACAATAAGCTAACAAAGTGCGCTGTTGGTAACCCTAATTAAACGCTTGGCTTGCCAGCACCAAACTGTTGAAGAGGATCAACAGCTCCTAAATGTTTCACTTTGAATGTCCGCGAGAGATTCCACGTTTGTTTGTGTAGGTATATTTGTAGACTTGTTTTCTATTTTGATTTGATCGATCGTTGACAGTCTGCATTACGGGTAAAGGCTTAAAGTTGGTACTGAAACGTCGCGCTTGTTCGCCACTAAGTGCAAAAAATAAAGAAGCTGTCGTTAACAAGGAAAGCCAGGCCATACATTAGTTCCTATCATAACTCAGCCTCGAAAAGTGCAAGAAACAAGAGGATAACCTTACCGGTACGTTTTTCTCTATGTCCGGCTCTTTTTCTCACTCTTTTATTGTCTTAATCGCGCCAGCTATAAAACGTTGGTCACATAGCGATAACTAATAACACCACACCAACCATAGCCGATTGGCGGGAGCTGCAGCGTTGGAGCTTGGTGGTAGTAGGAACTGATTTACGCTTACGTACGTGCCCGCTAAAGCGGCGTCCAAAGCATGTCCTAGGCCGCGGTATAACAGCGGAGCGGTAAGCCCTTGTCGCTTCTTTGCCTGTAGCAACGTTTGTCAATGTCTATCTCTCACTGCATGAGCACCGCCGAGTTTGCTGAGTGTGGCAAGAGTGGGGAGTCATCGCGCGAATCGCTATCGTCTTTGTGCAGCGAGTTTTTGTCGCTCTTTCTTTGTCGTTTCCCGTACATTTAACAAGATTTTAGCGGAGTCATCGTTGACAGCATTGGCGTTGTCGTCGACATTAGCAGTTGTCGTCACTTTAACGGCTGTGTTGTCACCATGGCCACCATTGTTGTTACCAGTACTTTCGTGTCCTCAGTTTAGCTAGCTAGTTACCTGGCAAGCGAATCAGTGTATCTGACTGGACTGCGATGATTAACGGTTGGCTTATAACTTCCGGACAAGTAAAAGCGCAAACCTTGTCCAGCTTGCCAGTCGCGCCTACTTATACGATAACTCAGCGCGGTAACAAGTGGGTTAACTTGCCATTGCTTAACTAATTGACGGCAAATCGGCCAACCCGCTCGTTGTTCATTAACGACCAGCTACAATGCCTTTGACTCAGCGGAGTTAACGACAACAGCAGCATTGGTTAGGAAACGATACTGAACGACCGCAGAGTCAATCAGCAGCGACAGCGGTAAGGGGCAGTGAATGAGTTTGAGCGACTCAGGGCAAAGTGTTTTCTAAGAGCCGCCAGTGGTTTTCCTCGTGTCGGCTGTTATTATCGCAAACGCCGCAGCTGCCTCCGTCTGTAGTGATCGATCATGCCAACCTTGTGTAAAGCAAATAAATTAACCCAGACGAACGACTATTACTAGCAAGATAGCCTGTTCCTGCAGCAACAACAACGGTAGCCTGTATCCAAAAGGTCCCCATCGCTCTCCAACAGGAAACGAACTTCGGGTCGAAGCAGCAGCCAATTTTGTCTCTTGTTTTCTTGTCCTTCGCCAGCCTTCCCGGCCGTTCGAATGTCTGACTACTCTCGTGCGCTACACATACAACAACATTGCGGATCTTTCTTGCTAAACGAATATACAACAACAACAACAACAACAACAGCAGCAGCAAGAAATAGGAGCCGAACGCTTAGAAAGCCGAGAAAACCGTAAAAAGTCGCTGCAGCATCGGTCCTGCTAGCGACGCTGTTCGTCGACGAAAAGTAGCGGTCGCCGTTGGTTCGATTGCATTACCGCAAGTTTTTGTCGGTGTTAGATTCTAGCGGTCTTACTGGTAGTTTCTACGCCGGCACACGCCTAGACGGTACAGGACGGCTTATTAGCTTGTATTCATTTAGAGCATTTGTATCCGACGAGTCGTGTTGTGTGCGCACGGATTGTCATCGTAGGCTGGATCGAAAAATTGACCTACCGCTGGCCGTTATTTCTCGTTTTTCCCAATTGAATTTTGTTACGCGGTACTTTACGAAGTGTGGTGGTACATGTATGAAATTGTACGATATAAGGGATCGTCGCAGCGGCTAAGTGTGGGTTACATGAATTTCGAGCTAATGCGTGACGCAGGGCGACTAGCTGTCGAAAGCGGCGAGTTACGGTAGGAGAGCTAAAAATGTATTATATAGTTTGTGATTGTTGACGCACCGACTGTTCATAGGGATAATCTAGGTGCTGGCGGATGACGATGGAGCGCCAAGAGACTTGCCGCCGTCTGCCATTTCGGACCACGGTCTCGTCGAATTCACGCGTTTAACGGCCAACTTTAAAGTGTCAAAGTTACTGTTACTGCCAGTAATATCTCAGAAGAGCTAGCAAAAAGCTTAAACATTTTCGTTGCCGCCGCTATAGTTGTCGTATGAGTCTGAATGAACAGCCACAGAGCGGCCGTGGCTTGCAGCGGTATGTCGTGATTTGTCGATGGTGCTGCTACGGTACGAGTACCACTTCTGCTAAACAGAGTGCGCACAAGTGCGAAGAGTTATACCGTTGATCTCTACAATGTGATTATTCTATACCAATAATGCTAGGATGCTGTTACTGTATCGGCTTAATTTTTTTTAATCGCTTGCTTGGTGAAGTCACACGGAAAGCTAACCAGAATAGAACTGAAAATCTACTGCTATATGCTTGTCTTCTGTGGTTCTGCAAAAGAAAGATTTGTTCACGCCTGCCTATCGTGGCTAGTGCGACCTTCCTAGATCACGTGGTTTCCGCATTTCGATATGTTAAAATTTTCGAAAGCCGGAAAACCATTGCAGTAGCAACACGAAAGTAACGCACATCGATAGGAAACGAACCTCCAACCCTGTTCGCAATTTAACCCCGTCGCAGAGAGCCTGCCGATGATCGGTGATCCTTCGGCAAGAAAATGAAATTAATGGTGTTCACCAGTTCGTATCCGCGTTAGTATCTCACTGTTTCTATTTTGAGGTGAAATATAATATCTAATCAGCCTATAGATAACGTCGCCAGAACGTTCACTAAAAGACCGTGACCGATTTATCAGAGCTAAGGACTAGGAATGGTGCTTCGTTGTGGGGCACTTCTGAGGTGTAAAGCGAGTCGTAGGCTTATCGTTAATGTTAACCTCTATTATTTTTTTGTGAAATCACCATCAGTTCACTATGGAGTACCACAAAACGACAGTGTTTATACCAGCTTTGTTTACCAGCTGAAGGAATAAAAGTGCATAGTAAAATCGCCTAATTATAAATCTCTTGTAAACGAAACCAGTGTGAGGATCGCTGTAAACTCTATAGTTCAATCCTCATTTGTATCATGCCACGCGAAGGTCTACTACGTTCGTCCGTAGATAGCCATGGCGCCGCCGGTTGTCTAGGGAGGTGGCGATAGTGTTCACTGCTAGTAATTTTCGTCGCCGTAGAAACCAGATGTCACGCGGGCTATCTCGCCGCCACGACCGCAGGGCCCGCTGGGCTTTTTCGAGGGAAACATCTCAGACGCCGCCTAGTCAATCCACCAAACGATGTGTTTTGCCGCCGTTCACTACTACCTGTAGTAAACGGAAAATCTGAGCAAATAACAAACGCCCCTTAAGTGTGTCACTTTTTATCCTTGATATCGACGATGGCCTATGTACTGAACCATTTTAGTAACGTTTGCAGGTTGAGCAAATAACTTGTGTGACTTGTTCTCAAGCAAGCGTGTCTTAAAATTTCCAAAGGGTGGGCCTGCAGAGTTTTTAGGAGAAAAAAAATGGTGGTTAGTGTTGTTTTGTCGATGACCTATTGGTGACCTATGTCAGTAAAACAATTGGTTAGATCTGGCTTATAAGTAGTATACTCGGTTCAGTGATCCATAACCATAATTTACGTGCAATAAATTTCAGAAAGACCATATCTTTTGCTCATGATGTTCCATAATAATGTGAGGCAAAGAATCATAAAGGATCTTTGGCATTTCGTTTGTTTTACAAAAGTGAGTTGAAAAAACAGCACGATTTACCCAAACAAAGCGACAATTATGCTATTATAAAGATATTTTCAGAATATTAGATAAGCACTTCTGTCCCGTTTAAGCAATGATGGTTTTTCAACTACTATTGTGAGCGGGTCCACAGTCCTCTAGAAGCGTTTACTATGAAAATGATAATAGTAAGGGCATTTGTTCAAGAGTTGTATCGCATTGTTTACTGAAAAATATAACCCTAAAAAATATAGCGTCAATTTGAAGGTAACGAACAAAATCGAATACTCCTGTAGGGTCAGATATTCCGACAGGTTGCCGACGTCCGGCGTTTAATACCGTTGATGTGAGGTCTTAACACGGGAGCTAAAAAGAATTTTTCAACAAGGTCGCAGGTATCAACGATGGAGTGAATTGTTCGATGACTTTAAATCAGCTACGCTTCGCCTCCCGTCGAGGCGGCCTTTCGTAGAAGGATCTTTTGTCGACCCACGTACATCGTTTCCAAATTCGGATGCGCTAAACACGCTCGCGCGCATTTAGTAAGTTATATTCACGCAGGAAAGTGGCCACTTGTGGTTCGTGGTATCCCCAAGGCCCTACGGAGTGGCGCACCTTGAAGTTGTATTTGAGACGGGAACGAAGCGGTAATCATACAATATCGAAGAAATCCATTTGAACCTAATACCGTTGGTGCCGTCCTTCCATGCGGTTTGAAAGACAGGAAGGCAGGATATAAGTGCCTTGTTATCTTTGATGTTCACGTTCATTTGTACTTCGGTACTGGTTCGGATTATAATTTGCATAATAAATAGATGTTTGTCTCTTTTACCTTGCTAAATTTGTTTAGCGTATCCAGTTGACAATATATACTGTGACTTTGAACTTGGCGGGTATCGCTAATTTGCTTATAGATAGAGAACGATAGTTTAATTTCAAAGCATAGACGTAGTATTGAATGGTGTTTATTCAGGATCATTCATATGATGTATCGCCTTTATTCAAACAGTTCACCTACAGGCGGATCACGGATGCAGACGAAATAGCCGGTAGATTTATTAGAAACTTCGAGTCCGGAGACGGCGCTCACCGAGATTTTTTTTTTTACCAAAGCTGTTGTTTTCAGACGCAATATTTACGATCGGCGTATTCTTCCGCTGGGCCATCGGAACACCTCATTTTCTCACTAAATGCAGCAATTGTGCCTATTGTACTGGCGTGTAGTGCACAAAGGCGTCAGTGCTCGGTCCAAAAGTTCAGTAGACGCACCCATATCGGTAGCAGGTCACTAGTTACACGCCGGAACTGGATCAGTTCAACCTGAAGATGTCATTCCTATAAAATAGTGCTACTTGCCAACGTACATCTGAAACACGGAGATGCATGGTGAACGCTTAACTTAACGTTCAACAGCAACTGGGCTGAAACAGCTTCGTTCATGTGACTTAGCGTTGCTGGATGTTTTTCGGCGTAATTGTTTGAAAAGCAAAGTTTACTTGGTTTTTTAAAAATAGGAATTTAAAATAGTGTGTTCGACATCAAGTTTGACAATTATGCTCCACTTATGTAAAATCTAAACAAGTCCCAAATGGCATAGTACGTAAAATCTAACGGCTTGTAGTATGGTCTTAATACTGTGCATTGGTATCTGTAATAAATTATAAACTCGCGTAACTCGTCACAGATAAACTGCAAATGCATGATTCTAGAGTTCGGATAAAACAACCTGTACGTCAGAAAAGATGCTTGATATCATGATATCAGTTTTTAAAGGATGATGTGTAGTACGGCATATTCGTATGAATAGAGTGACGACGATCGGGTGACTAGTACTATATACAGGGTCGAACAAAGCCTTTTCATAGGTGTGTGTATATATGCGTATAAATATTATATAGTGTCACACTAATATTCTATGTTCGAGTCAGTAGAAAGGCGTTAATATCGGATATTTAGATTAGCTTACTTATTACCCTCTATATATATATGGTGATTTAGTAAATAGACTAGTTTAGATATCTGGATAGTAACCCCCCTCTGTCAATTCAAACATTAAAAAATATCACTAGTTTGACACTAATGGTCATGCTTTTCGTAATTCACTGGTTACGCTTATTGGATCTATATTAGAATTAGATTGAACTTGAAAAGGTGGCTCATTATCATTTACGACCATTATAATACATAGATAAATGCTAATCAAATGTGCTGTTTTTTTGCTAACGTATTGGCAATTGTTCATTCATCAACTTCCACTACAATAACGCCAACGGCGATACCAGACAAGTTACGTCGGCATCACAATCCCGCGACAACGTTTTCGGACTGTCTGGCCAAGGAGCGTTTGTACGATTCGCAGCATCGGGGCGGCTCGGGCGGGCACCATTCACCTTTAACAGGCAGCGCCGGTAGCGGAGGCGCAGCCGTGGGAGGCCATTCGAGTGACGACAACAGCGCGTCGAACCAAAACTTCCTTTCAAATAACAACGCACTAAGTGCGCACTCGACCGGCGGCGGTGCTCATCATCATCACCATCACCATCACAATCACCACAGCAGCTTAAACAACAGTAGCGCGCATCATGGCGCCGGTAACGTCGGTACGGGGTCAAATAACGCTTACTCGAATAACACGAGTTCAGGCGGGAATGGTCCTGGGGGTACTGGCAGCGGACTCGGCGCGAACTCAGCCAACGCCAGTAACAACAGCATCAACAACAGTTCGGGGGTCGGTGGTAACGGGCCGGAAAGAGCTGACGGCAAATCCGGAAGCGATCATCATCAACATCACCACCATGGCAGGGGCGGATCCCAGCAACAGATCTCAAACAGTAATAATAGCAATAACAGCAACAACTCGACCAATGTCAATCATACCGGCAGCAGTGGAAACAAACACGTCAAGGAAGAGGTAAGCACAATGGAAGCAGTGTACAAAATTGCGTCGGTAACAGCTATCCAGTTTTCTCCAGATCTATGTCTTAAGACGCTACGAATGAATTCGAGTATTTTGGGGATATCGACATTTGGGTTTTACTAGAATATTCGGGCATACTACAGTGTGAGTCATCTCTGATTACGTGAGCTCGGTATACATTACGACCCCGTAAGACTCTTAGTGAGCTCTAGCAAGCTATAATCTTTAAGCAAGCCGATGTAACGACAACGTAGCTGGCAGCTTATAAAAATGTTGTACTACTAGCCATGCAGACTGGGAGGAAGCAAAAAAGTAATCTAGATTGTTTGAAGTTTCATAGCATTTACTCGTACGAGGGAATACAATTCCTGATGCGCTCGTATGAATTTTTCCCCATAACTTCGTAAGTTCATCCACTCCACCCTCGTTAGAACATGACAGCGTTAGCAACCAGAACGGGAGCTTTGAAGCAAGAATGGTACAAGTAAGAATACAGTATTCTGGCAACTCGGCCTTTCCTTGAACTAACAAGTCGAATTTAATAATGAAAATACCCGTGTTCAAGCCGTGTGTGCGCAGCTTTCTTCCTCGCTGTTTATCGGTCTATGCCGAATCAGGAGGCGTTATTGTACACTACGACGATAGGTGGGGCTACTTTATGATCGAAAAGGCGATTATAGCGCCACCTGTGGCTCATACTTCTCAGGAGTCGCTCAGAAGGGCTGGACTCTCGCGTGCGAACCATTTCATATTCCCTTACTTTGCACACTGACGAGGGATGTCCAAGGTGTGATGCGTGCCCGGAAATACTTGTAAGCTAATCGCTGGTCTAAGCATTGCAGCTTCCATAAAAACAGTAACGTTTCGAGGCAAATCATGTGCAATAATCGATGGACAGCTTGCCACAGCTTTGAATCCGTATCCCACGATTTGCAGCCTATATTGTAGAATGTAAATACAATGGCCACACGGAGTCACGTGGCTTTATTGTGGAAACCAGTTTAGGTTTAGTTTTTTGCGGGAATTTCCTTTAGGAAGCATGACGTTGGCGGAAGTACAATGCAGTTGCAGTGATTCCAGTTCGTTACAGGGCGTAACATTTCCATTGCCCCTGATAGCGATGCTCTGACAGTAAAAAGGGAAAATTCGGTTTTTTTTTTAAAAGATAGATAAGACCCGGTTTTTGCGTTAGGTCATAATATGTGATTCAAAAGAGTTGCTCGCTGCGTGTAAATCGGTTGTGATAGAAAGTCGTTAACTGACTCTTGTAGCAATATTGTGAAACCGATCAAAACTGAGTAGGATCAGTACCGACGCTTCGCGCAATCCATATATTATATCCCCACAGACAGCAGATGGTCTAAGCAAGACCTAAGAGTAACGCTAATGGAAGAGGAGAAATTCTGATCAGGTGTTGATCTTGTTGATTAAGGTGTTGACCTTATAACTAACGTCAACACCTTAAGCTGTTAAGGGTTCGCTGGTTGTGCGCCTTTGGTTGGCTTGAGAAGGCGTGATGATGCATAGAACCAATTTAGCCAATTTAAGGCAAGACTTCGTTCGAGAGAACAAGCAAAGCTGAATAGACGTTCGCTAAGACTCATATATTGTTATCCTAGTATTCTGAAGTGGTTCATACCGTGTATAGATAGAAATCGTCAGTGACAAGGCTCAATTGTTGGCTTTAAGGAAGAAAGCTAGAAGTAGTTTAAAATTTTAAATTAGCGCAAGTACATGTATAATGTTCGGACCATTTGCCGATGTTCAGACATGTAAAATCATCATGGCAAGAACAGGGAGTAGGAACGTGACTACTGGATCTGATGGTCAGCTCGTCGTTGCTCTCACGAAGAAGTTTTTTGACTTTGTGGTCACTTAATAGTTGCCGAATGTTTATGCCAGCAGTGATGCACGTCATGAACAATGCACGATAAGTGTTTCGATTAAACCGTTCTCCAGCCAGGGCGCACTTGCACCTCAGTTGATTTAGGAGTAGGCACGGGTATACACATTTAGCATAAGGAAGTCAAACGCGATCCTCCACCGTTTTTTACTAGTCAAAAGGCTAGTTACCATTGGTTAAAAAAGTTAATTAATCGTTGTTGTGATTTTTACTTGTAAAGTGATAGTCTTCACTATTTACGCGTTCAATAATATGGCACTTTTAGCTTCAAATTTTACTACTGGAATACCGCCAACTTATGCACACATGACCGAATCCTGTTTTCTTTTTTTTTTTCCTCTCATCAACTAAACTTTTACGGACAGAACTCGCAGTCATCTACGGGCACTGGCGGAGGTAAGCGTGCTCGACGAGCTGCGGCGAAAGACTACAGCGAGTCAAGCGCCTATGGAGGCGGGTCCGAAAGTAGTAGCGTTAGCAAACGCGAAAAACGAGCTGGTGCTGGAACGAATCAGACAGCGACTAAGGGTAGCAAACGAGGCAGTGCGAGCACAGAAAATACCACGGGTAAGTGGTTTATTATGTAGACAAGTATAGAGAATATGATCTTAATTTGGAGAAATATATTGGAAAATCACCACATGCTTACAGCTGTTTTATTTTTTTTGGTAGTCTTCTAATATGAATTTTTTCTTCTATAATCGAATTATTATCCGAGGCGTTTTCGCAATAGACTACGTTTTGTCTGTTGGAAACTGTCTGTTAAAATCGGAGAGAATTTTTTTTTGTTATGCTCGTAATAGATTTGACCTCCCTACTTTGTGTTCATCAACAGGTCAAGGTAAAAAGCGGAAGAGTGCACGGCAACAGGAAGCGGTTTCACCCGTGGACGCCATCGATCCAGATGAGCCGACATACTGTCTGTGCGAACAGGTGCGCCCGCAACGATTCATGGTTTTTTGCACAAGCAAAGTCTAGATCTATAGAAATATGCGTTCTTCCCTAAAGATACGTTGGAGAAACGTATCTAATATGTTTCTGGCCAGGGTACACGCGGTTTCAGTTCAAAATCAGATTCGGAAATCAGAAATCTATCTATATGACCGTTCACGCACATAACGTATACAGAGCCAATCATTTAAAACTTTTTTTATTTCTATAATTATTGTTTTGTGCTGAAGCTAAACACTACCGACTACGGGAACGGCTGTTCAATATGTTTGCCTTGGTTAGAGAAGTGAGCTTTCATTGTATGACACATCCGGGCGAAAGTGAGCTTGTTGTCCCTCCACCTGCACTTTTACACTTAAATCGATACCTAGTTTTTTTTTGCTTTTTTCTTTGCCCAGGTATCGTTCGGCGAAATGATTGGTTGCGATAACGAAGAGTGCGCAATCGAATGGTTCCATTTCCAATGTGTCGCGCTGACGACGAAGCCTAAGGGCAAATGGTATTGTCCCCGATGCCGAGGGGACCGATCGAATCAGATGAAGAAAGCAAGCTGAGCCGTCTTTATCGCGAACGCGAGCTCCACGACCTGCCGCCGGTAACGAAAGCAACAAACCCTTCGCTAAGGTTAATGCAACCTACTATAGCGCTACGTCAGGTTTCCAATCTGTGATGAAGAAAATCGACAGAAGCGGAAATTTCTGGCTTGTGGCTTTTGCGTGAAGTTGCTGTTGGGCGTTCGGAATTGCTCTCTTCGGTATTCGGAGACCCTAGCAATCTACAGCAACCATACTAGCGACAGGATATATATAAATATATATATATATATATATATATACATATAAGCATATTGTATTATGTATAATTATATACATCAAAATGATAATTATAATAATAACAACGACAACAACAACAACAACAACAAGAAAATAAGAATCATAATAAAACAAACAAGTGTTAAACTGTTTGAATATTGTTGTTGAGTGTTAGATGTTTGACGATTAAGTGCCTTTGAGTGAGAAGCCCACTGAACTTTGACCTGTTTTTCCTTCAAAGTTGTTATACGTTGCTTAAAAACGTTACCGGCGCACAAATGTAAACTCTATGATTCATGGTAAATTTACGATGTTTATTTAGTTAAATAGTTATCATACACGGTACCAGTCTCGTAGGCTGCCACAGCCGTGGTCTTAAGACGGCAGTTGTAAGTTGTATCCAAAACCTCGAATAACAGAGAAAACAAAGTACTTTCAGGGTACACCACTGCCATAATAACATAACCAAAGTTACTTTAATCCTTACTTTAAAATATTGTCATCGAACAGAATCGAGCGCAGGTCCATGGACATGGAGCAATATTAGCTCCACAGGATTTCTTGCTCATAAATACAAGATTGTGGCATGATGCAGGTTGATCTCTCAGATTCTACTTCGTAATAGTAACGCGCAGTTACGAGCTATTACACAAGCTAAAGCAGATAGGCTTGCTTGGATTGGTTTTTTTTTGAAAAAATGGGTTTGAATGTACAAGTGGGCTAAACACAGGTTAGAACAGTTATATTGTTCGCGGTTTCTTTCAAATCTGCAAGAACTGTTTCTTCTTGATGAATATGCGTGCATGTAGTAATTATCCAACTTAGCTTACTCCATTGGGTTACACTAACCTGTGTGAAAATTACGTCGCTTTATGCAAATGAGAAGCTTAAAATTGGATGGCTTCGAATTGTTGTTATTTTGTAAATTCTTCCTTTTTAAGTTTGACGAAATTTGTACGTGTAAATCACAGGCTGTTCTGTGACAGGGACCTACAGGTCGGTCCTGTTGTGTGTAGAGCCCTGAAGGCTTGTGTTTGGCTGTCCGAATAAATTTACACATTCGCAGGCTCAAAGAATTACATTTTGATAGGTGTTTTGTGCGGATGGAATATATATATATATATATATATATATATATATATATATATATATATGTAACTAAGGGAACTTCCGTTGAGACCGATTGTACTGGCATGTACCAATGGCTGTGATATAACGATAGGTTTCCACTGATGTGAAAGGTTTATTTATTTTTAAATTTCTTGACAAACTTATTTCGAAAAAAACAAACGACTTGAGGTACTCCGCTCTGGTCCCAAGCGAGGCAGAAGTACGTGCAGTATCTCAGGTGCTTTGTACGATTGTTTAATTAGCTCGTTAAATATGACCTTCGGAAAAATTCCTAGAATGAAAACTCAATAATCGTTCCATTAATTTATAATATGCAATAACAAAAACAACCTCACTACAAATATGAAAAAATGCTTGTTTAGGCGCGTAAAAAAGTCATTGCGCATTGGCAGAATACGGTGATGGTATGTTCGGATAGCTGAGTTGTTTGGAGTTCTGGGTTACTAGAATTTCAGTATTCCGAATGATATCCAGTAGTACTTGAGGACCCTAGACGTGGTCCTGGAGTGATCTCGCGAGAACTGTGTACGGCTTAAGCAAAGTAAGTGCCATCTTCAGAAAGTGGAACTTAATTTTTTCGGTTCTGCGTACTTCACGAACAATGACCGCTTGTTTTGTCAAAAAAAATTTGTTAATATGTCAGCTCGAAAATACTGCAGAAACTAGGACGTTATTTGCATTGGTGTAATTCAACGAACCATACATTACAATGCTCTCTATAATCGCTAGGCCATTACATGCAAAATTTAACGCGTATTTGTATTGCCCTAAAAGCGGCAGCCAGCTTTGAAAGGTACCCAATTGGTCTGAAACATGAACGCGAGCCATAAATGCTTTTTGACTCCGGATTTTTTGAAGTGCTCTACAAGGAAATCTGAAAATCACATATTGATCTCTATCGCTGAAGAAACAACTTCATTTTCACTAATAAATACATTTCGAATGTACTTCGACATCCATGCTTGATTACACTTAAAGCTAACAATCGGACATGACATCAACAGCATTAGCAGTAATACCAAAAGTTATTAAAAAAAAGTAACAACAAACGTTTGAGAGAAATAAGTTTAAGGCAAAAAAACACATGTAATGGGTTGCAGGTCTTCTTTCTTAAAAAAATCAAAGTTACAAATGTCCAGATATAAGGAAATGATAATTCGGATTAGATAGAAATAACTAGCAAGTTTCATCCCCGTTAAAAGATACGCAATGTATTACATTATTTTGTCTAGATCCTGTCACTGACATGGAGCGGGAAACCGGATGCATAGTCACCCTGTGCTATGTGCATATGTGATACGATGACATGGCAAGATATGCCCGTTAACCGATTTTGTTGACCCCATTCTGGTTTGGAGCTTTTTGTCATGAGTGCAACAGCTCTGCTTTAGTCGTACTCTTTTAACGATTTACGTATACTTGCTAGCAGAGAGCCTGTACTCTTCCACAAGCTCTATTTGCACCGCTCTTTCAGTGTCCAGGAAATCTGTTGGATTTTAATTCAAAATGATTCAAATCTTCTACTGATCTATCAACGCTCATATTCAATCTATCGCCAAGTCCATTCATGTATTTTCCTCAATCAAACTCCTGAAACCGTCATCGTAATATGATGACCCACCATTCCAGCGCACACCCACCACCTCTGCTCTCACCATTTCATTGATCCTGCGCATGCTAAACCGATACTTTGAATGAGATGGTTTCGCCGCTTCGGGAAAACTGGGTCCCTCTCAATTTCCCGAGAGCTATGTTTGGCTGAGAGTGGGGTTGTGTCTGCATGGACCTGCTAGCTGGGATGGCTTTTTGTTATTCCATATTTTGATGACATCGGCGCCTTCCTCCTAGGACCAAGAGCCAAACAGGCTAGGAGGAGAATCTGCGGAAGCTTTTCTTGCCCGATCTTTTCCCGGCGTATTGCCTACTGTTCTATCGAAAATAAACCTTCGGAGGTGTCTGTCCTTTGTTAGATGGCCTGTGGATTTTGTCCTCTTCATCGGTTCATCACAAGCGAGGTAAATGCAAGAAATGAGTGCGGTACACTAGCTGAATTTGTCGTCCAGACATGGGAGGGTTCGGAGTATCGGTGGTCAGCGCCAGTCGAAATAGTTATACAGTGGTAGCCTGCATTGCTGTCATCGATTTTGTTCCCGTTCCGTCAGTTCTTATTGTATGCTGCGGGCTTTAATTTAGCACCTCTTCGCACGCTTTTTTGCATCTTATGTTATCTGTCCAAATTTGAATGTGACGTGGCAGAACAAGGCCAAAACTTTTTCAGAAAAAAATACATTTTGCAGTAAAACTCATTTTTCGGTGCACTTCAGACGTCTCAAACGCATCCAGCAAAAAATAACAATCAGAAGAAACGACTGGAACAGAAGCGGTCACGGCAAGCAGAAGAGGATAGGTTGCAACGATGGTTCCTCGCGAACAGTGACGCTGCGCCCCTTTAATTGAACTATTCTTACTAAGTTCGAAGAAAACAAACTGCAGTGTCACAAACTTGCTAACGGGCAAGACAGTGGCTGGATATAGCTGCTCGAAGCTGCTCAACATGACTATTCATTACTACCAGCCGCCCGCACTACATACGGATTAAGAATCTTGTTACTATGTTTATCGACCTTGGTCTTCTGAGAGGTCTTCGAAAGCGATGACAGTAATGAGGCTTGCTAACCGAACATTACCTTCCCCTCTGTATGAGGCTATGTTACTCCAGTCTGAGGAGATTTATTTCTATTTGTTATACGATGAGCATATTAGTCGCCGTAATGAACCCGCATACCACCATGGCGGTCGCCATGAGTCCTTTTAGGCTTATGCCTGCTCACACCGATAGACGAATCGTTTGGGATAGAATGGTACCTCATCGTTTTCCACGATGAAGGCGTTAAAACGAAGGCAAGTTTGGTTACTCCCTCAGGGAAGCCGTGTCATATTATAAATCTGTCCAGCTAAATGGATATATCCTCTGCAGATAAAAAGAATAAGTGATGACCCAACAGGGAATAGTCATGTTAGCGCTTAAGCATAGCTTGCGCAATGGCTTGCGTGCTTGTTAGCTAGGTGACCTGATTTTGCGGTTACTAGAATTACAGGTATAATTTATACTTCTGAGATAAAAGAGCAGAAAAACCAAAATGCAGAGCCTATTGTAAAAATTCCTAGAAGATGGGTGTTGCTTAGGGATTCTATTTCTATCTTAGTAAGCGAAATGCATTTTGCTTTAAAAAAAAACGTTTTTTTTGTTTGCGTAAGTCGCATGATAGATTCTCGGTAGCTCTTATAGTCATCTGTGATGCGTAGGTATAATTTAAATGAACTTTTGCACTGCATAGAAATTGTAACAGATTAAAACATGGACTCTGCTAAGTGCAATAAATTCAACATTTATATACCTACACAAACATCATTTATGCAAGAATTTCCTGTATTTATACTATGCCGCTCTTTGTCCTATGTGTATCTCAAGTGTTACGCTAACTTACTATTAGGAAAACAATCAATTTCCCTAAAAAATCTGATGTCAGTATTTATTTTTCGCTTTTTAATTTAATCACTTATTTTTTTTCTTTATGGTTATCTTGTCCATTTGGCAAAAGCCATTATTGTATGAGACCGAAGTACATTAGGCTGCGTCTAAGGACAATGCAATCTACACAGACGTTAACGTTATTCTTTACTGCAAGGCAATATTACCAATAACGTTATTTGATTGTCTAAGAGTCTAGCATGAGGCTTGGTTAGCACGAGCTCAGGGTTCGTTGCCGTTGCACACGCCTGTGACCTTCCAAGCTCAGTTCAGCCGATATGCACCGTTAAGATTATTTAAGCGTTTCTTATCACATAGGGTCGTACGATAGGAACGAGGTTCGATTGTGCGATAGGAACAAGGTCCCATATTACTAGCGGCTCTAAAGGCAGCCAT